CCAAACCCTGAAGTGCTTATCTGATGGTTCTGTAGAAAGTGCAATTATTCTGATGAGATTCTTGTAAATAGGTGAATAGCAATAAACATATTGCTCTGATCAATTATCAGCATTATTCTGTTTTTTTTGCACTGTGGCACTGGGGCAATGATTTCCTCATCAATCAATATTCCCATATAATGTGAATACTTACTTTTTCCATTTGAAACAAATAGAAATCAATAAAATCCTGTGGCTCATGCAGATTCTGATTCTCCTTATGGTGTTTAACCTGCTTCCTCGCAAATGAAATAATTCTCTTACATGCAGATTTGACAGTTTGGTGAGGACCTGGTAGGTATTTCATGATATGTGGGAAAACTTCATAGAGCTGCAGGAAAGACAAAGCAAATCTAGTTTGTTGTTATTGTTAGTTGCAACTCGGGGAGCTGTTTCAAATGGATAGTGAGCCAACTTCTAAGGATTAGCATAGTGGTGAAATTCAATTTTTTTTACTGCTGGTTCTGTGGGCATGGTTTGGTGGCTGTGGCAGGGGAAGGATACTGAAAAATCTCCATTCCCACCCCACTCTGGGGCCAGTCAGAGGTGGTATTTGCCGGTTCTCCGAACTACTCAAAATTTCCAGTACCGGTTCTCCAGAACCTGTCAGAACCTGCTGAATTTCACCTGCTGGATTAGCAATTCACCCGTATTTCCATGACTCTAACTACATGAAATTTTGCTTTTTGGTAGATCCAGTCAATCCACAAGAGAAATCTATTGTCTTTCTTAACAATAGATTCTCACTGTAATCAGTTATGTAAATATATATGTGTCTACATACACAGAATTTCTACACCTGCCTCTCCATGTATGCTGAAATTACACAACTCAAAATTTCAGCTTATGACCCCAACACATCTTGATGGCCTCTCCCTGGAGAAAACATTGCCAATAGTTTCTTCTTTCAACAACCCTCATGATGATACATTCTTTCTTATTTTCTCCTTTACTCCAAAACACCCAACTTTTAGCTTAAAGATTAACCAAATTGATAATATTCATCATTTATATTGCATCAAAATTCAAAATGAATGAGAAAATATGATTTTTAAAATGTGAATTTCTGTTAATATGGTAAGTTTTGAATTCACTGATTAAGCTGGGTAGAGAAAAGTCAGAACATTGGCAAAATATTAATACTCACACCATGACATACGGTGCCTCCAAATTTTAAGGTAACCCTGACTGCTTCTATCAACTCTGAGAAGTCTTTGTCATCAACAGAAAACCTATATCCAAAAGCTGCAGCACAGATAATGTTGCAGATTGAATTTGTGATGGGTACTGCTGGATCAAATGGCTGACCTGAAAATGAAAGAATCTCTATTAATTTTCATATTAATCCTGTAAATACCAAAAATGGGATGCTCTGATTGAGCTTGCTTGAAATAAACAAAAGGACTTGGAATGATTTTTTACTGTCTATTATATAACCTGGCTGTATAATAGGCAATAATTAGTATATAGCCTAACTGTTGAGAATGCAACTTTAATACATTGTGGCATAACTAGCAAATTTGGAAAAATAACTTTGAATAATATCTCCATCAGAAATTCCTTGGCTGCCAATAACTTTTTTGGGGGGATTATTCAGGAATACCTCTTCTGTTTTGGCTTATCTATTATGTGCTTGAAGAAGAAGGAGTGATATATCTTAAAAACAGAATGAGATTTATTTATTTTGGGGTCACATTGATGGTAAGCTGCTTGTGAACTGTATGCATTTGGTCATGAGAGAATCTTAAAAATAATATATTTGAAGCATCTATAAAATAGTGCTAGATGAACAACCATATTTTTTCTGGACAAAAGGACATTTGAAATAAGAAAACGTGCTCTGGACCACACAATTAACTGTTACATCACAAAACTGTTAGTTTTAAAATGTTGGAATCATCTAACACACTTTCTATGTTTGTATACACTCTAATGACAGAAAGTGAAGAGGAATTAAAATGCCTCTTGATAGCAATAGCAATAGCAATAGCAA